GAGCTGGGCTGGGCTGGGCTGGGCTGGGCTGGGCTGAGCTGCGTAGGCTTGCTGGGCTGGGCTGACTGGTACTGAACTCCACTTTGTTGAGCTGATCATGTCTTTGTTAGGCCAAGTTGAACTGGATGTGGCAAAATGTGTCCTCGGTGTGTTTGCCCTGGAGTGATTCTGGCTGTCCTGGATAAAGTCCACTGGACCATGCTCACTAGATGGGGTGGGCAGAGTGGAGCAAGGTGGACTGAGCTGGGCTGGACACCGGGCTTTAGGAGCCTAGAGCTGGTTTTATGAGCAAGCCCAGCTGGCAACAAGGCCAGGGACTGGTACAGAGGTGTGTGTGAACCATGGGTGGGACTGTGGTGGCCTGTGAGGTGGCCTCTGTTCTCTAGCCTGTGGTGTCAAGGTCAGACTTCCCACCCTCCCCTAGGAGGTGGCAGGGAGGCAGAGCCCCAGGGAAGTCTGGACGGGCAGGCAAGGGCTGAGACGTCTGGAGGGCCAGGCAGGGGCTCACATCTGAGGAGCCGAGGCCTCTTAGAGCAGAGCTCAGGAGAGGGAGGGGACTCCCCATGGTAAGCCCACAATTCTGGGATGGGGGAAGGGGAAGACTAGCAGTCGGGGAAGACTCTGGGTCCCCAGCCCCCATGGGGGATACAGGTAGAGACAAAGGGACAATCTGGTAATTGCTGGGGTCTGTGGTTCCCTGGGTCCCAGGGGATCTGGGGTTGGGTCAGCCCCTGGTTCCTGGGGTGTCTGGGTCCTGGGCTTCAGCCTAGGGGAACAGCCTGGTCCTCTCCTGTTCTAGAGCCTTTGTCCCAGCCTTCAGGGCTGAGGCTGGGTAGATCCTGCAGCCCTTGAGGTGGGGTGCAGGGGTCCCCATGGCACCTGGGCCTGGGGCTTGGGAGGAAGAGGTGGAGTTAGAGAGTGAGGACTGGACCTACACAGGCCTGGCCATCTGGCCCCTAGGCTGGAGCAGGGCCCCCAGTCTGGGTCGCGTGGTAGTCTGAGGCCGGCCTGACCTGGACCCTGTCCTGCAGCCTCCATCCAGAAGCCGTCCGTCTTCCCCTTGCACTCCTGCTGCAGCGAGCCCACCTCCGTGTCGCTGGGCTGCCTGGTCACAGGCTACTTCCCAGAGCCAGTGACTGTGACCTGGGACACAGGCTCCCTGAATGTGAGCACCCTGAACTTCCCCACCGCCAAACTCAGCTCCGGCCTCCTGGCCAGAACCAGCCAGGTGACCGTGTCCAGCACAGAGGAGTGGGCCAGGAGGAATTTCACCTGCAGCGTGGGCCATGCTCCATCGTCGACATCCCAGGTCAACAAGACCGTCCAAGGTAAGCGGGGCCAGGCTTGCTGCAGCCACCACAGGAGAAAGCAGTCACAGCAGCAGGGACTTCTCAAATGTGCCCAGCTGGGATGGGGAGGACCAAAGCAGGGCAGCACCCAGTGTGCCTGGGGACCTGGGCGGGGGCCAGGGGTGCCTGGAGGAGGAACCTGCAGCTCAGGGGACCTCACGGCTCACACCTCTGCCCTAGGTTGCTTGCTCTCCAACTTCACCGGCCTCGATGTGACGCTCTTCCACTCATCCTGTGACCCCAGTGGATCTCACTCCATCATCCAGCTCTATTGCCTCATTTCTGGCTACACCCCGGGTGACCTCGTGGTCACTTGGCTGAAGGACAAGAAGACACTCTTAAAAACGGCCTCATCCATTGCCCCACCCACGCAGGAAGGCAAGCTGGCCTCCACCCACAGCAAGATCAACATCACCCAGGAAGACTGGATGTCAGAGAGCATCTTCACGTGCCAGGTCACAACCCACGGCTCCAACTACCAGGCCCATGCCCAGAAGTGCACAGGTGTGGCCCCCTCCTGCCCTGACACCTGGACACCCAGGAGCCAGAGGCGGCTGAGCGGGAGCCTCATGCTGCCTCTCCCCACCCCACAGGTGACGAGCCACGAGGGATAATTACCTACCTGATCCCGCCCAGCCCTCTGGACCTGTACGTCCGCACAGCGCCCAAGCTCACCTGTCTGGTGGTAGACCTGGAAAGCAAAGAGGGCGTGACAGTGGTCTGGACCCGGGACAGCCAGAAGCCAGTGACCTCCGACCCCTGGGAGGCCAACAAGCAGCTCAACGCTACATTCAGCATCGTCTCCACCCTGCCAGTGGACGCCAAGGACTGGATCGATGGCGAAACCTACCGCTGCACGGTGACACACCCTGAGCTGCCCAAGCCCATCGTTCGGTCCATCACCAAGGCCCCCGGCAAGTCACGGGCCTGGGCAGGTGGGCTGGCCTCCCTAGTGGTCAGAGAGGGTGGAGGTGGGGCTGACACCTTTTGTCCACAGGCAAGCGCATGGCCCCCGAGGTCTACGTGTTCCTGCCACCTGAGGAGCAAGGGAGCCAGGACAAGCTCACCCTCACCTGCCTGGTCCAGAACTTCTTCCCCGTGGACATCTCGGTGCAGTGGCTTCGCAACGGGCAGATCCACAATGACCAGCACAGCACCACAGCGCCCCTCAAGACCAACACCTCCCACCCCTCCTTCTTCATCTTCAGCCGCCTAGAGATCACCCAGGCAGACTGGGCGCTGAATACCAAGTTCACCTGCCGCGTGGTCCACGAGGCACTTCCTGGCCGGAGAACCCTCGAGAAAACCGTGTTCAAGAGCCCTGGTAAATGAAGCCACCCTGCCGGCCTCTCCCCACAGGGCTCATCCAGCAGGGCAGGAAGGGAGGCCAGTCAGGCCTGTCCACTAGGCCTGTCCACTGTTGTGATGCACCAGGAAGCCACCCTAATAAACTCTGCAAAGCCTGCTCACAGCCCTGGGTGCCCATTCTTGGGGAGGGCAGGGCTGCAGGGCAGAATCATCTTCCACAGAAGGGCGCCCCAAAAGAGGGGCTGAGAGGGGCTGGGGCAGCAGTGAGGCCCGGCTCAACGACCAGGGGTGTCTGTCAAATAGCACACCACACGATGGGGCTCGGCACAGAGACCCTGCCCCCAAAGAGGGTCACAGAGTCGGAGGAGATGGTCCTCGGTGGGCCAGGGTGAGCATCCCAGGAGATGTCAGCTCTGTCCCTGGAGAGACAAGACCCCACACCTCCAGGTGTCCCTGCCAGAGTCAGACCCCAGACAGCCCTCTGCCTCCCTCTGTGCACGGGGCCAGGAGTCAAGCCCACTCACCCCCACGCCCTGACTGTCCTGCTGCATGGTCACACATGGGTCAGCACCCACTGTCCTCAGCCTTGCTGCTGGCCTCACTCCAGCCACAGCCACACAAGGAGACACCAGCCACACACACGTATGTCCAGTCACATGCCCCTGTGCCACACATGCTGGCCGCAGAGGGGCACACACTGATCATGCAGCATTAGGCACCTGCAGCAGCACCCTGCACCTGCAGTGGGGCTCACAGCACCCACCCAACAGTGTGTCACATGTGCTCAGGACGGCCTGCCCCTGGCCTCCCATGGCTGCCCATGCGCAGACCACTCCAAGTCCTTCCCTCGACACAGCCAGGCTCCCAGGTCCAAGACAAAAAGGGAAACTCACACCTCAGCTGGGATTCCAGTGCCCCCACAAGACCTCCCCCTATGGCCCCAGCCTCCCCGGCCCACCCCTCCCTGGCGGCCCTACCCCACAGACAGGGAGATGGACACACAGCAGAAGTGACTGAGCTCTCCTGGTCCACCACAAGCCCAGAGCAGGATGCACGCCCTTCCCAGAGCCTGGAGGACAAGGGGTTAGAGCCATCATGTGCACCCAGGCCCCATCACATGCACAGCCACAGCCAGCTGGGCCTGTGCACTCCCACACAGCCACAGAGGGCATCGGGAGGCGGAGGGCACACGGCCCTCTGCAAGGGAGATGCCTCCCCACCCAGGCACCTTGCCACCAGGCCCTCCTCAGAGCAGGAGCACAGGAGTGGGCCCAGCACCCAGGGCCTGCCCCAGGCCCACCCAGCCCAACCCCAGGCTGTGATAGAGGAGGGCCACTGACCTCAGGTGACCAGAGACAGGCATGAGGCCGAGCAAATTGGTGAAGGTCCCAGAGAGGGCAAGGGCCCATCCCCCAGACCAGGAGGCTGCTCTGACCCCACAGGCCTGGGCTCAGAGTCTGCTCAGCTGGGCCAGCCCTCAGAGACTTGTCACCGTCACCAAGACTCCTGGGGTCAGAGCCCTTCATGAGGGCCCAGCATTCTCTGGGAGGGGCGCATGGGGCCAAGTTTGGGGCCAGGAGAGACAGGAGAAGTAGAGGGAGAGGAACAGGCCAGGCCTCCGGGCCTGGTGGGGCAGAGCACAGAGTCAAGGTCAGGAGTGGGCAGAAGACCAGGATCCCCTGAGCTACAAGCTGACTTGGTGGGCTTTGGGCCTCCAGCCCTCCAAGGCTGACGGGGGGCTCTGGGAAGTCCCACATGAGGCCGGGCAGGGAGCTCCTCTCCTGGGGGCCTCAGTGGGGGTTCCCTGGGCCGGGAGAACTGACTGGCCCGTCCTCCCAGAGCTAGACCTGCAGGACCTGTGCACAGAGGAGCTGGAGAGTGCCGAGCTGGATGGGCTGTGGACCAGCACCTGTGTTTTCATCTCCCTGTTCCTGCTCAGTGTGAGCTACGGTGCCACCATCACCCTCTTCAAGGTGGGGCCTGGCGCCTGGGCGGGTGGGGCCCAGAAGGCCCTGGGCCAGCTACGGCTGCCCTCACACACACCTTCTCCCCAGGTGAAGTGGGTCTTCTCCACAGAGCTGCGGAGCACACCCCAGGCCCTGCACGACTACGCCAACATCCTCCATCCGGGGGCCTAGCCAGGACACCCCGCCACGCAGCCGGGCCTCCGCGTCTGAGCCTCCTGGGGCTGCGGCTCTGCCCAGGTGGGATGAGGGAGCAGACCCACCCTGTCAGGGCCAGGGCTGGGGCCCAAGTACCAGCGCACCAGAGTCCAGAACGTTCCTCAGCCCCAAGGTTCCCCAAGACAGCCCATCAATCACAGACCTCACCCACTCTGAGACCAGCCCAGAACAGCGTCTGGCCCTTCGGCAGAGGGCTCCTGGCCGCAGGATGGGCGCTGACCGCCGGGACTCACCCAGGCCCACAGTCCTCAGGATGGCCCCCAACAACCAGAAAACGCACTGAGGCCCAGAGCCATGGTCCCCACCACGGGAGGCAGCCAGCCCAGTCCCCTGGGCTGGGCAGAGGGGTCCCACAGCCTGGAGAGGGGTCCCCTCCTGCCCACAGCCTCGTCCACCTCCACCTGGCAGTCCTGTTCCCACCCAGGCTTCTCAGTAAAGCTCCTTCCATGGCCCAGGTCTCCTGAGCACGCTTTAGGGAAGTGTCTGTGGTCACCCTGGGGTGGCCGGAGGAAGGCATTCCAAGGACGTGGACGAGGGCCAGAGGGAAAGGAGGAGTCCAGTCAAGCAGCTGTCCTCTGTGAGAGCCCTCAACACCAGTCCCTGAGCTGTCCACACCTCTGGCCTCCAGCCCAGATTCACGTCCCCTCCTCTGTGAGGGAAAACCCCCACCTTGGGCCAAGCGATCGCCAATGCCCTGGTCAGAACAGGAGTCTGGGAGCTCGGATGCCGTCACCAAGGAGACGACGCTGTGGGGCCTCCCAGGACCTCAATCCATCCACCCTGACTCTGCAGAAGGCCAATCCCTGGCCCCGGCCCCACAGCCAGCCTGGACACTCACTTAGCTGAGAGGTGACCTTCGGTGAGCAAGGGCCACCAGGGGCTGGCCACCATCATCCTTGGGAAGAATACTGGTGGCCAAGGAGACTGAGCCGGGCACAGGGCACAGCCAGTGGCAAGGACCGAGGTGGCGGGGGCTGTGCCCTCCTCAGCAAGGCAAGTGGCTTCCCAGTTGGAAAGCTGCTCGCGGGGTCTCTGTGGAGCCCAACAAAAGTGAAGGGGAACACCTGTCCCCCCAGCTACCCAGGAGGCTGCAGAAGGACACCAGTTCAAGGCCAGCCTGGCAACATCACCAGACCCTGTCTCAAAATAAAAAGAACTGGGCAGCCATAGTTGGTGGGAGGGGAGGGAGGAATGAAGGAACTTTGGTTTGTGCAGAGGGGAGTGCGGGGAGGGGTGGGGCTGTGGGGATGGGGAGGAGGTAGAATGAGACGGACACTACTACCCTACAGACGTGTGTGATGACACCACTGGAGTGACCGCCCCGGGTGCAGCCAGAGGAAGAAGAAGCTGTGCTCCATTTGTGAACAATGTGTCAAAACGCATTCTACTGTCACATCTAACTAAATCGAACAAATTAAAATAAACTTTAAAAAAAAATGGGGCTGGAGATATAGCTCAGAGGTACAGCGCTTGCCTAGCATGCATGAGGCCTGGGGTTTGATCCCCAGAACCACGAAAAATGGTGGGGAGAATCCATGAACACATACAACAAAGGGCAGACTTCCTTCAGAAACAAAGAGCACTCTGGAACCAATAAAAAAAAAAAAAAAACAACAAGAAAGATGAGCAATGGGTCCTTCACAGAAGGAAAAACCCAGCAGCCAATAACGTGAAGAAAAGTTTCAGTGGTGGACAGCTACAGTAGGAGGACACGAGGGTGGGGCCCCAGCCCTGGTTGAGGGCTGTGAACTCTTTAGACCATTCGGAGGCCAAGTGACCAAACACCCTTGTTATCATCATGGCAGTGGCCCTACAGGGGGACCTGCAGCAGGGCAGCAGGTCCAGTGTCACATGAACTCTGAACCAGGATGGAAATGGGCCCCTGGAGCAGCCAAACTGGGTAGCACCAGACCCCACTCTGGGCAGAAGAGCAGCACTGGGAGGCGGGAGGCTGGGGAGGCTCGTCTGAGACAGGAGAGCTGCTCCGAACAGGAGGGCTTCCAAAGTTGCCCAGGCCACAGCCCCTGTGCACCCCCACAGACACACGCTCTGGAGAAGCCAGGCCCCGCCCCAGCCCGTGGCCTGCCAGGCTCTCCTTCCAAGCTGGGCACCTCCTCCTGTGTGCTGGACCGAGGGCATCCCGGGGGCAAAGCCAGTGTCTTCTTTCTCTGACTCACACCCCAGAGCGTGAGACTCCACAGCCCCAGAGTGGGACGCCGTCACACAGGCATGGGCTGTAGCTCCCGCAGCCCGGAGCAAGTCAGCTGGTCTCCTCGTTCCAGAGCACCCAGGGAACTGGACCACCCGCAGCCAGGGTCCAGAGCCCGCGTGTGGAGCCCGCGAGACCTGCTTCCCAGGACGAGAGCACACCCTGCCGGGTCCTCCTCTTCACTCTCTCCCTGGCCCACAAGAGAGGCACTCATGTCCTGGACCCTGGGAATCACCCCTTTGGAAGAAGGGCCTTTGCAGATGCAGCCAGGGTCGATGGGCCCTGAATCCAGGGGCAAAGTCCTTTTAACCAGCCACAGAGAGGGCAGAGGCAGGGCCAGCGGGCTGAATGCCCATGTCCCCTGGAGATGTAGATGCTGAAACTGAAGGCTGGCACCTTGGCAGACCCTGACCACGGGACCAGGGAAGGCCACCAAGGAGGGCTGTCACACAGGGTCACCTGGGCGAACACGACAGACTCAGCCAATCCCAGCGCTGCCCAGAGCTGCCACAACCCACAAAGACTCTTCTGTCCAGCCCAGGTGATGCCACTTTGTTGATCCAGGGGCCACAGGAGCTTTCAAACACCCGCACACCCTCCTGCTTGCCTCAACCCGGCCCTCCTGGCCTCTTGAACCGCCCACCATGGGCCATGGCAGCACTCCTTCCTGGTGACCGCTGGAGGGTCTCTGTTGTGACTTAGGTTGGCAAAGCCCTCAGCTGAAAGGCTGGGATTGGGGGCCTCTGGAAGGCGACTGGGTCACAATGAGCAACACTGACCACAGGCCCCACACAGTGGCCATCTACGAATCAAGAAGCAGCCCTCGCTGGAATGACCACTGACCATGGTCATCAGCCACCAGGACTGCAACAAGTCAGTGTGCTCTGGGCAGGCTGGCTGTGTTTTCTCACAGCAGCCAGGTGACCGAGACAGGCAGCCACAGCGCCCCCATTGACAGCAACGAGCCTCCAGGACCCCAGGCGCCTCCCACCCCCTCCAGCAGTCCCCTGATGGACCTCACAGCCAGAGGGCCCTCCATTCTCCCCACACTTCCCAAGGCCCTGCTTATGAAGCGCTTCCAAGTCCCCCAAAAGAGCTGACTCTCCTGCCCCAGGGCCCAGAGCCACCTGATGCCCACTTGTGCCCAGAGTTCTTTCTCGAGGCCTCCCTGGCCGTGGCCCCCTCTGGCCAGCCCTATGCTTTGGGGTCCAGGCACCGCTGGCCCTCAGTGCTCCTCCCAGCCTCTGTCCCGTCCATCTCTGTCTCAGCGTCTGGGAGCCTCTGTGTGGATTTCCGTCTCTCCTGTCCTGCATCTTGGCCCCCGGCCCAGCACTGTGGCCAGTCATGTAGAGCCCTAGTCTCACCACGGCCTGTGGGGTCACACAGCCCAAGCCACACACACCTGTCCCCACCACAACCAGACCACAGACCAGACATGACGTGGAGGTGAGCGGCCACAATATGGAGGTGGAGCAGGAAGTGGGCGAGTGACCCCCGTGTGGGCCAGACATACAGTCATACAGCCCCTCCCCAGTGGGGCCCCAAGCACCCAGACTGCCCCAGCCCTGGGCAAAGGGTCCACAGTGGGGCAGAGGGCTGCTGAGGACACAGCCCTCCAGCCTGGGCCTAGAGCAAGCCTGAGCTCCTGCCCTGGCACAGTCCCTCTGGAGCAGGCAGGCAATGGCCATGTGGGTGGACCACAGCCCAGGGCCACCAGGCCAAGAGGGGGGAGGGCTCAGAGGCCTGAGCACGTAGACTGCGACGCTCTATGGCCTCCTGTCCTCCTCAGACGTGGACAGCAACGCCAGGCCTGGGCACTCCTAGAAACTCAGGATGGAGAAGAGGCCTCCAGACCAAGAAGGTGAGGGGAGAGGTACCAGAGGACACACAGCAGGGCATGGACGTGGAAAGCCAAAAGGGGCCGTGGGCAGGGATGCAGCCCTGATGGGGACCGGAAGGCATCCGAGCTGAGCAGAAGGACGTGAGAGGATGGGAAGGGCAGGCTGGGCCACACCTGTCTGCTGAGCTGGGCCGCCCAACACTAGGCTGATCAGGCTCCACTAGGCTGAGCTGGGCTGGGCTAGACTACGCTGGACCAAGCTGGACCAAGCTGGGCCAAGCTGGGCTGAGATGGGCTAAGCAGGGCTGAGCTGAGCTGGGCTGGGCTGAGCAGAACTGGGCTGAGTTGAGCTGGACTAAGCTGGGCTGAGCTGGGCTGAGCCGGGCTGGGCCGAGCTGGGTTGGGCAGGGGTGGGAGGGGCGAGGGTGG